TGTGTTGGAAAACGCCATGATGCCCAGGGCTATGTCACTCCCCCCTCTATCCTGCAGTAATCTTGCCTCCTCTTCCTCTCCCCTTCTACCTCTATATTTCTGTTTGGATAAAAAGCTTCTCCATGACCACTCCTGCTTTACTTCCCTGTGTGTCCATAGAACTCCTTACACCATACGACCTTTATTCCAAGTACTTCCAACGCACAGATTACACATTGTTGCATCCTCTATGTATTGGTGCTTTCTTCTATTTGTAGCTTGCTTGGCCTGAAGCCATCCTTAGTGCATCAACCACTCATCCCTTTTCATTCAAGTCTTTATTGTACATATTCTTACTCATCAAATTGCAAAATAATGATGACTTGTACGATTTGTTAAAAACTCAAACCCAGCTTTGTGCAAGAACAGTGACTCTGGTTGTATCACTGACCTCATTTAGTCACAATTGCTAAAAAGTGGAAAATCTGACCAAAACACTGTATTTCTCCTAGAAACAGCAATAATGTGGTTGCCTTACTGCAAAGGGGAAGCATGAAGGCCTGGTAGCATACCAGGAATATGTTTACTTCTTGTGTTCAGACACAGAGGGATTCATTTGATGACAACCGCACCAAAATCACAGACGTTAGAGAGGTTACTATGAAGTGCTGGCTTACTGACTTCGAGGGAAGCCACTCAGTGCTGGGCCTATTTCATGAGACAACTGGACTTTTACCAAGCTAAGAGCATAATATTTTCCTCTGCTCCCATACAGGTAATAGAACTTCATTAATTTGGTTACACTCATCCTAAGCACCTAATTTTTCTTAAGCTGTGAAAAGACAAATTATCTCCTGCAAATGGACTTTTACAGAACTTAAACAACAAAAAGTAAACTGATTAATTCAGTTTGACAGCTCATTGTTAGGTACATGCCAGTAGTTTGATAAGGTTTTGACCTTGGTGGAGAAGCTTCACTCTTCATGAGCAGACCAACACTGACCCACCTGAATAAGCCCACTGACAAATTAGGGTACACTATGTTCAAGAACCTCAGGCCATCTCTGATCACCTGTAGCTTTATCTTTACTGTCTCTTGAATCTTTGAACTATTTGTTATGAGAAAGAATATGAACTGCTATTCATATTAGTACACCTTCAAAACAAACACCTAATAGCTTTCCTACAATAAAATGTCGATATACTTCACACTTTTCCCAGTTCTTGTAACTGTTGGAAAGAAAATAAATAAAAATTAATTAATTGGGTTACCCAATGACCCTGCATTTCTTTAAGGTGATTTGGCCTTCATAAACGAGAACAGAGGAAATAGAAGTTAATAGCATTTTCTCTTATCACGTGGAATCTGGACACTTACTGTATACACCTTCCCTTTGATTTTTAAGGAAGGAATGAATTCCATTTGATGGTCACTTTATCATGCCTTTACTACATTTTTTTATAATAGCTGGCATTTGATATTGTCTCAGTCTGTGTTTGTGTTCCAAGCAGAGTCTGATTATCGAGGCTACTGATCTTCATAGTGGCCAGTTGTTGCCAATCCAGTTAAATTATTTGATTCTCTTCCACTGCGCTGCATTTAACCATCCAACTGCTTCTCAGGAGGTGTCTTTCTCCACTGCTGTCTTCATCATTCTTACTTTCCTGCGTCTGTTTTCCTTCTTTCAAACCTGCACTTTTTCAGGAGCTTGAAATCTAAGTGAGGAGAAACAAAACAAATCAAAACAAAACAAAAAGGCTAACCCCAAACCCAAATGTAACGTAAACGCCCAAATCCACTCTTCTTTCTTGTTCCTGGCTTCAGTTAGTGTTTAGGTCTAAAGCTAGGCCTGGGTCCATTAAGATGAGTTGTTTGGGTAAGAAGCAAACACCATGCACAGATATAACAAAATCAGCTCTGTTTGTTTTGGCCAGGGGGATTTGCTTGCTAAGATCACATTGAAAGAGTCAGAACTGCTCCAACTCTGAAGCTGAGAGTGAGGGCCTGACTCTGTCCTCACACATGTGATATGACCTGGAATAACTGCCTGTAGTTATAAATCTCACATGCAACAAATCAGAACTAGAAGCAAATTGTACAACACACTGTATGCTTTGTATAATAGAGGAATGACTAAAAATCAGCTGCAAAGCAGAGTCCAACTTATTTGTTCTCGTCCCCGTGTTGGGCTGTAAAATATGCGGCCTGGAAAGCAAGTGTCTTGCATACTTTTCATTTCACTCACAGGGCTGATTCATGCCAGTAAATGCTGAAACCCCACCTCATAATTGGGAGAAGTAATTTCCATTCCATGAGTTTTGCTTGAAGCTAATGTATGCTATTACAGAACACCTAAAGTAAAACTTTAACCATTTCTCTTAGCCCAGCTGTGAAGTTCAAACTGCTTTTAAAGTTAATTATCGTGCTCTGACCTGCACATATGCACATGTTAAATACAAATAAATCAATACGGCAAGCTTATTCTTGTTTCAATTTGCTTTTTGTTTTTAAAATTAGCATACTCTCGCTTTGCCTATCAGATATATGAGTGTGATGGTATCTCTCATATTAAAGTTTTGCATTTGTCTCTTTGTAGTTCATTTGCTATTTTATAAACCCAAAGTCCTTGAGGGAGTGTCGGAAAGCCCCATAATTTTCCTTAGTGTTCCATTTTACCTTTTTATCTCTGATGTAGCTAGCATATGTGAAAAAGAAATGCAGATAGCCAGATGGTTCCCCAGTGTCCATATATACAAAAGCTCTGACAAATATAAGGGACTTTAGCTAATGCTGATGTTGATTCATACTTGAGCTTGTTCTTATTATTGTCTTTTTTTCTAATGCTATATTATTAGGAGCATATGTGAGCTTAGAAAATTATAATTATTAATTTTAAGGAAAAACATAGCCTTTTTTTTTTTATTAAAGTAAAAATATTTTGGGAGGAGAGAATCATCATAACTCCTGGTGTTGGCATTTCACAGTACCAGCCTTCTTTTTCTTTGACTGGTATCATTACCCATTTCACATGTCCCCAGAATCTCCTAAAAGAGAAGTTATTTTGTATTTGCTTTGTGGTTTTCAGTGCATTTTTCTCTGAATCACTCTGCATAGATCACAGTAAGAGGGAGAACACTGAATTAGCTGATTCACTTCTGTTGCTTGGTGTGGTGCTCTCTAATTGCACTTAGTTGTGGGGATTTTCCAAAGCAGACAAGTGACTTTTCCTTTTGCCAGGGTACTGCTGTCAGACTGAGACATTTGAACATCACCACATTTCAGGGATGAGCAGCATCATGTTCACAGCCATGCTGCCTGCCCGTGGAGAGAGCAAGCTCACTAATGGCTTAGTTTAACCGCTCTCTAGGACAGCAAGCATTCGCACATTTCTGCGTAGTTTATTTGTGTTCAGGAGGAGAACTGGAAGAGCATCAACTTTTTTAAGGACTCATCATCTGGAAAGCTCAGTTCATCTGAAGACATCAGTCAATTAATCCTCAAAACCTGATCAGAAGTGGGGCAAGATTTTAAAGATTCTGGGTCTGTTCCTTGTCCAGCATCAGCTGCAAGTCTGGTTTTCCATTTCAGAGGAAGCAGCATCCCATATTTCTGTGTTCTCTATGATAATTAGCACCATATAATATTGGATTTTCTTGCTTGAATAAAGCACTAACTTTGCTAGGCTGGTACTGAAACCTGGGGAGAAACAGGCCATAAAGATAAAGATACATGTGTAGATAAAGTTTGTTTAGTCAGGGTGCTGCATTCAGGTGCTCTCTCGCTATAATGGATCAGTATTCTCGACTGCTTTGGTTAGTATGGCCAGAGTGTGCTAATAGCTGGAAACAAAACTGTAACTCAGGCTTGTGCTCTGATTCATTGTGGGTACTTGTTTACTTGTTAACATATTTCTGGTTGTCTGAGATGGCTCCAAGTGTATCACAAGATGTGCTCCCTTGAAGTAATTCTGTGACATTACCCTGCTGAGTGACCTGCACTGCCTCAGTTGGATCAGAGACCATCTCTCTCTGCGAAGGTAGAAACCTTGATTCAGAAGAGGTTTGCATCCAGCAGGTCAGAGCAGCACAGAATATGCTTGCAAGACAACTTAGGAAAACCTAACCCAGAACCCAAAAAATGTTGTTTGGAAAAATCCTTGAGGCTTTAATGGAGCTGCACTGCAGTTCACATTTTCAAGGCAACTTGGGTAAAGTTTTCAAGGCTGTCCCACTTCCATGAGAGCACAAATCTCCCCAAATGGGAAATATTGCTCAGTATACCTTGGGGAAAAAGTTAGCTTGAGCAAATACAGCTCCCAGTCTCCTATACTGCCAAAGAGCTTCTGAAAGCTGGGGTAAATCTTCCGGAGCAGCTCTGAACTCTGAAACCAAACTTTCAATCCAAGCACCGCTGGAATTCTCCTCTCTTACTCTTCTTTGCTCATTTTCTTTCCAAGTTTTAAATCGATTAAATAATTCGTGGGCGGGGAGGGTGAGAACACCCCCTCCGAGGGGTCTGGCTGCCACCCGGCTCCCCCCTCCCCCAAGGCCAGTCTCATTCCCTCTTCACAGTGACACCTACCGGCATTCCCGGTCCTCCCAGCCCGGGGCCGCTCTGCCCCTGCCCCTACCCCACTCTCCCAGCTCTGCCCGCCGCCTCTCCCAGCTCTGCCCGCCGGCTCCGGCCCGGAGTCCCCTCCGGCCGCCCGGGCTTTGCTGCCCTCGGGGCGCGCTGGGAGCCCCGGCACGACCCGCCCGGCGGGGCACAAACTTTCCCGGCGACTTTCCCTGCCCGCTCCAGCGCACAGGGCGCGGATGGGGCCGGAGGCTGCCCCCGCTGAACCCTCGGGGGGCTGCGCCCCTACACAGCCCCCGACTGCCCCGTGCCTCCCTCCGCGGTGCCAGCGGCGCTGCCGCGGGCGGACGGGCCGGGCCGGGCGGCAGCCGCCGGCGCGCAGGGCGGGGTGTGGCCTCGCCATTATTTATGAGCTCCAGCCCCTATTTGCTCAGCTAATGATGCACCGGCGGCCGCCGAGCCTTGCCTCTCTAGAGCGGCGGCGGCCAGGGCAGGGCAGCGCCTGTAACTGGAAACCAGCGCCGGCTCCGTCACCGCGCGGCCGCTCCATTCACTCCTAAGGTGCGTAATTGCGGGCAGGGGAGAAGCGCTCCCGCTGCCTTAGGAGTCCAGCTGCCAGGATTACTGTACGGAGGAGCCGGGAGAACGCCTGCAACCGCCGCGAAGACAGACTTTTCTTTTTTTTTCTTCTTTTTTTTTTTTTTTCTTTTAATTTATTTTTCCCTCCACAATGTGCCAGGTTTGGAATTAAAATGTTCTGGTAGCGGGAGTGGAGTCTATAAACTGATAGAAACCAGATAATAATCGGTATTGCCGGTGCCTCTAATAGCCGGGTAAGCATAACTTAAAGTTCTCTTTCTTTGCTGTAATAAGATGTGAAATGTCTCCTAGGGTTGAATTTTCCTGCTGTTCTCAGATAGTTTAAACAATGTTTTCCAGATTGGCATAGTCTGTGTTGGGCAGGGATTTTTTTTCTCCTTTATTTCTTTTCTTTCCTCTGCTGAATGATTTTCCTTACAGGATTTAAGGGTAGGACCCAGCCTGTAGCACATGACACCTGCACAGCACTTAATAGCAAAGCGATACTGTACTTTCCAAAAGCAGTACACATGGTGCAAGCGACCTCCGTGGCAGGGAAACTTCACCACTTCACTTTAGTAGCGGTTTGTCTGTTTGTTTACAGTTGGAATAGGGTGTAAGAGCAGAAATGTAATTAGACACTGCCTTTTGCCTGTCCTGTAAGATTCTTTAAAAGTACTCTTCAAGGTTTTAGGTCTGTGGGTTGTCAGAAGAGATCATGTGCACGGGACATGCTGAATATAGTATCATGACTTACTGAGATAAATTCAGAACTGGGATATAAGCCCAAAGCAAGAGTCAAACCTACAATTCAGTTACCAGGTCGGTAAATCTCTGAAATTAAACCTATTTCCATTAGGTAACTCACATGTCAGGCACCCTGAGGTGCCTTTTTGGCACTATATGCATTTATTATTTATGTGTCTAACAGCTGGGTAGGAACCATGCTGCTCAGCATTTGAATCTTATATGTGCCTGTCACTTCTGTGTTAACGGTGAAGATCTGCAATTTGAGCAATGAAATGTAGCAATGTTTCACTCCTGTGACTGATTGCAGTAAAATTGGCAGGAGGCACGAGAGTGGGAGGGAAGGAGTGCTGAAAGGGGTTTCTTTCTATTATTATTTCCTACAATATTATTTAAAGGAAGGAGGAAAGCCACACACTTGTTCCTCTTTGACTTTTTATCTTTATTGCAAAGAAAGCATAGTGCTACTACTGTAAAATACTAATCCCATTGCATCTGTTAAATCATATGTTCTGTATGATTGGTTATTTGTTTTGGCCTGACAAAGAAATTTTTATCAGGATTTAATGCCATTTCTCTCTTAGAAGAGGGGTAAGTAAAAGGATATCCCGTGGACTAGTCACAAGGTTTTAAATTTAAAGCCCACAAAGCAGCATTAGTACTAGAGTTCGTGCAGCCTGTTTAAAAATTATTCTTGGCAAAAACTCTGCAACTATCGTTTTATTAGTTAACAGACCCTTAGAGATAATTTGGAACTGGGCCAGAATGGATATGTTTCTCCTGCAGACCCGATCTGTAGCTGGCAAATCTGTGAAATGGGTGCTTTTGTCAATTAGCAGAGTTGTAGAATTACTTGATGTCTGTGCATTTCCTAGTATTCCAGAGCAAATCATGAAGGAGAGTCTAGAGTGTGGGCTGCAGAACTGTGCAGTCACTTGCATGCTCTCCATCCCACCTGCAACTTTATACGAAGTCCTCATGCAGAGAGAAGCCTTTCAAAGCGATTTACAGTGAGTGGATGAGGAATGACAGGGGTAGTAATGAGATACGGGGCTCTTACCGCTAAGTCAGTGGTGTGGATCTGTCCCAAACCAGTGCTGACCTAAAGTCATCCCTGCCTGACAGCTCATTCCTGCCATGCCGTGGTGCTTACAGCCGGTTCTTTAAGGACAGGTGTGAACCTCAGAGGGGCCGAATGAACAGGCATGTAGAAATACAGGCTTCCACTGGAGGGACTGTAGTGCAGGAGCAGAGCTGAGGTAAAATGCAAGATGATTGCCCAGGGAACAAATCTCTTCATGAAATAAATGTATAGCTTTTAATGCTGTCTTCCAGCTGTAGGGGTTGTATCTTTTGAAGTGCTTCCAGTTGCCACAGAATCAAATATATCACCTGATTGATGAACTAATAAGTGGTGTCTGGTAGAAGGGCTGTTTACACCAAAAAGAAAAAAATATATATATAAGTAGAATGGGCCTAAAATGAGGATGTTTTTTATTTGCACCTTTGGATCTGAGCTGACAAAGTTGTTAAGGATAGGTGAAATGAAATTTGCACTTCACAGTATTTAGAGAGATGCGGTTTAGGAGCAGATATGATATAGATATGTAATATTCAGCTTCTGATAACTGCTGGGTTTTATGGATCTGGTCCAAAGTCCATTAGAATTGTTAGGAAAATGCCATGACTCCAGTGAGCTCAAGTCCTTGCTGAGCTAAGAAAAGATGCAGAGTTTTGGACCATTTTCTGATTCTTTGAGAACCTCAGGCTTCTCGGCAGCTTAACCCTGTAAAATTAATGTAGAATCAGCACACGTGCAGGAGGAGTAGCAGAAGTATCAAGTGTAATGCACTGTCCAACTCTGGGATACTTAGTGCTCTGTAGAAGTCTATGAGAGCAGGTAAGTGTCCCAAAAGGAACTAGCCCAAAAAGCAAATGTTGACTAACAGTTTCAAGCATGTTGAAATACTTTTGGTTTCAGTGTTTTGAAATTCATGATGTACATAGTCAGGATTTCTTAAAAGAAGAACTAAAGGCTATTAGAGAGCTCAGCTTACAAAAACTTAATTTCCAAGCACCTTTGATTTCAAATGTTAAAAGAAAACAGCCAAACAACCAATTTCCCAAATGTCCCCCTCTGAACCTGAGGGAGATGTGTCTAAAAATATCAGCCAACTTTTATTCATGAAACTTTATCTCCTGTCCTTAGTTTGCTCTGCCTTGACATTTAGTATATTTCCAGCAGGTGGAATTGTCCTCAGTTTAAATAAACGAAATCTGATGATGTAATCTACCCTAGCCGAAACTTTGGCTCTGCTGGTTCCTACTAACAGACAGAGAGCTCCTTTTGTGCCAGCATAGAAGAATGCTGAAGAAAACCGTTTTCAGATATACAAAGAAAACAGAAGTGCTGTACCTCCTTCACATGAGTTATTATGGCTTCAACTGGAAGAGCTTTCTAACACAGATCTTTCCATGCTGTTGTTTTTGCTCCTCAAAATTGTATAAGAAGAGTAATGTGATATCTCTGTCTTTCAGGTTTTGTTTCTTGGATATTAAGTTACAAAACTGAAGAGATGGCCTTTCTTGCGGTGCACGTGTTGATTGGGATATTTATTTACTTTAGCAGTGTAAAAGGATCTTCCCAGCCTCAAGCAAGGGTGTTCCTAACGTTCAATGGTAAGAAAGAAGATAAACATTCTTAAGCAAATGTTATGATTGAACATTTTCTTCATCTCCTTAAGTTCAATAACTGAGCAGAAACTGGCTTTTTGATCTGCATCCACAATTATTGTTTTGCTTTTTGTTGCTAAGGTACCTGTCAACCTGAATTGGATTTTTTTACCTGAAGCTACCTATAGCTATACATGCTTAATTAATAAGACTTTCTCTTTGTTTTGAGTTATTATGATTTAATAACAACCAAAGGTTTTGTTTCTTATCCTTAATTTTGCTTGGGAAAGATGGTAGCATATGGCATGTAGTGGAAGCTATGAATGATTTGAGTTGCTTTCATTCAGTGCCCAACTGAGACACTTTATACTCTGAAAATGAGGCTGCCTGAAGGTTTACCAAAACAGTTAGCCAGGCACAGAGTCCTCTAAAAAAGTATCCTTCCTAGTGCACTTTGTACAGTGTGTAGGATGTATGTAGTGTGTAGCAATCACTGATGCCTGCATACTCTAAACAAGCAATCAAAATTACTATTTTCAAAAGAAAGTTGCTTTTGCTTCTGAAGTTCTGAGCAGTACTTTATTGCTACAATTACCCCAGTATTACTTGTAATGGTAATTTATTCCTCTAGCGTTAATCCCTGTCCTAAATGCCGATTTTAGCCACCACTTCAGAATGTGTGTGTTCTTCAGTTTACAATGTCTGTTAAATCTGAGCTGAAATTTTCTGTCAGTAACTATAGAGGTATTGACTTTCTTTAGCACTTTGCCTTTTTGGTGATTGTCTTTGAGCTATGAACGCTTGCTGCTCCCTGCACCTGATGCCGTCTGCAGTAGGCTGGCTTGTGTGGTTCATTAGTGTTGGGATTCCCTGCAACTGCCATGGGAATATTCTGTGTGCTCTGAACAGTCTTTAAGAATCAAATAATCATGGCTAATAAGTATCTCAACCTTGCCAGGATGATCAAAACTATGTAACCATGAGACTGAGAGACAGGCAGAAGGAGACCTGCCAAGTTAGACCTTCCACAAATACCAACCAGAGACTGATCAATACAAGGTGTTGTATATTATAGAGTGTAGGGCCCTGAACTGACGAGTGCAATACTTACTGGGTGTAAAACGGCATGGTTACAGTAAAAGCAATAGTAGGAATTGAATTCAAGAGGGAACTGCCAAGTGAAGAAGTAGAGGAGTGAATTTCTTTTCCTTGCTTAGGTAGCACTGATTGGTGTAGGTGATACTGTTTTGGACAACTCAGCACAGAAGCAAGTTTGGCTGTGGTTGTGTATTGCACTGCAGGTTTGCCACAGTTATGCAGAACAGGCTGATTTGGATTTCCACATCATCCACTTGGTGCCCTTAAAAGTAATCTAGGCTTCCCCTGCTCTCTGGTGTGAACATGAAGTAGGAAGTGTTCAGGTTTCGTGGTATTCAGCCTTGTGAATAGGAACAAGTTGTGATGAGGGACAAACGGTTTTAACATGGACTCAAGAGATGTGTTTTTCATTGCAGGTATCCTGCAAGTCTCTAACACTGAAGCACCCATAGGGCAAAGGACCCCAAATCTAAGGATTTAAAAAAAGTACTGAATGAAAACCTTAGTTCCTCTTCCTGGCTGAAAGGAGGTTGTCCCTCCTTCCTTTAAAAAGCACTATGACAGCTTTATGCTGCAGTGACCCCTTTGAGGTGAGCTTTTGGGCGCCAAGATCACTGCCACTCTGTGCTGGCCCTGGGGATGCAGCCTCACCTCACTGGTTCCAGCTGTAACCCTGCTTGACTGACTTGGTTAGACTTGTTTCTGAAATATCATGTACACATGTCCTGTGTCCTTTCCTTGATTTGATGAGTAAAAATGAGTCGCTAGCCTTGGTGGAAGATAAGGTAAAGTAAGTGTCATCAGAGCCTTGCAATACTATCTGATTATACTAACTGACATTTACTTTCCCTGATACTTTACAGTCAACCTTTAAAAAAAAACCCAAACCAAACAAACCTTAAAAAACCAAACCAACCAAAACAACAAACAAAAAACCCTAATAAACAAAACATTTTGAAGTCCTAAATTTTTAATGGGTCTTCTGAAGTCATAAAAGAAATTATTTGTTTTATAATATGAGAACTACGCCTGAAATAAAATTTTTTTTGTATAATATATCAACAGTAGTTTTATTTTTAAACTTGATTTCCAGATGGTAAGAAACAGCTTAACAGCTTTCATTATGTCAGAAGAGTTTGCAGGTTGTTGTGTATAACAAGGTAATGGCCCCACCTGTAATATGAACTTATGTTCTATAAATCTGTTTATTTACATGAATACTGATAAAAGAGAAAAAGGTGAAACTTTGTATTAAACTCTAGCTAAGTGTGATAACACATTTTCTTCATAAGCTGCTTCATAGCTTATTGTTTTTAAATCATGTAGAAATATCAAGTTATTGGCCGTCTCCTTGCCCTGAGAAGCTGTCAGTTTTTGTGGAGAATTGTCACTCTTTTAAAGTGCATCATTTGAAAATAAAAGTATAATTAGGTCTCCTTATGTTTTAAATTACATTAGACAATAAAGACAAGTCATTCAAGCTTAGGATACTTACATGATATTTTTCAAGTCCTGAATTGGATTTGGATTGGTGTCTACAATTACATTACATAAGTTTTGGGGGTAGAATGCATACAGGAGGAGAAAATGAGTGATGCTTTTCAAAACTAACCTGCTCCTTCAGGATCAAGTCAATTGAGCTTATTCACACTGCAGCATTTCTCATGGGAAAATCCAGCAAGTATCTTGACCTATTCTGTTTTTCATCAGGAAAGATAAAAATGCGAATCATTTGAATCATGGTCTGCTTTTCTCTTTGCCATCGACTTCATTAAGAATCAAATGTAATTAAAAAGTACGCCTGGGTAATACCTCAAGAGCCTGATAATAGGGATTTTGCAATTAACTTCAATGGATGAAGGACTGCAACCCTAACTTCTATTTTTGAAATCAAAAGCCTGGCCCCTTGTCTAATTAAAATGTAGTTCATGACTTCGCTGAGATTGTTAACTGCGTATGACGTGAGTGCGGAACTTACTGCTGTCTGCACCCTGAGTGCCTCGAAAATTGCAGTGCTGTACAGAACCCTGAGGCCTGATTTCTATTCTTTGCACCTTGCATAGCCATTTACTCAGCTTAAAGAAAAGGTCAGGCTGGAGCTGAACTCCTTGGCATGCACAGGTATACGCGGTTGTAGATGGCACTGGGCGTACAGAGAGTCAGGCAAAGGGGCTCTCAGTTTGCCTGGAATAATTTGTCATGACCCAGCTGTCCTGTTCAACGGTGATGGCTCAAACCATCAGTATTCGTACAACATCTGCACTTGCAGAGCCACTGCAGTTAAGAAGAAAGATGGCTCCAGCTCTTTCTGATTCTGAAATTCAAAGGTGTGAAGCTTGTGGTGCGGCAGCTGCAGCTGTGTTGGGAATCATCTGCTGTGTTACAGTGGAGCCTGCAGGAGTGAGAGAACCTGGGATGGGAGAAGTAAAGGACTCAGCATGTCTCACTATTGGTATACTATTCCCCCTACTCCTGCCTCTTTTGGCTCCTTGTCCTTGGAATAGATCTTTCTTAATCTACGTAAATCACCTATCATAATTAAAGCACCATAGTTTATTTTCTCTTCGTAGGAAAAGACTTAACCTTATCTGTTTATGAACTATCAAGTATGGTGCCTGCAGTTCCTCAAACTATGTGCATTCCTCCTTCTTACGGCATGTTCCTGAGAAGATAATTGGGAGCTGTATCATTCAGTCTTTACAGGGAAGAAAGCTTTCTCAAATCAGTGGGAGTATTATCAGAATCAGGGAGGAGTTATTAGACCCCAGGTTAATGTTTGAATTTGTTTCATACCAATTTTGGATTTTGTTGCAACCCTAAAATGTCAGGCTGTACCATCTTAACGTAAAACTCTGAATTAATAAAAGCAGATCTAGTACTTATTTTTAAAAATACACTAAAACAAACCTTCTTTGAGATTTAAATTTATATGGAGATGCATAACCAAGTGATAATTTCCAAATCCACTGGGAACATTTAATGCATTCCTACCTCAAATGTCTAGTCTGGCAGATATTTCCCATGCAGACTCTTCATTGTCTCCACTGAAAATTCCATATGAGAAGTGGATCAAGGCTAATTTGCAGACGGTTTTGTTCCTCTCTTTGTCATAAAATTACTAGAACACGTAAAGGACTTTTAAGAAAGTATCAGTCAGCTTCATTAATGACAATTAAAAAGCATAAAATGTCACCAGAGCAACAGCAGCACTTATTCAACTGTCAACATATTTTAAAAGATTTAATGCAACCCCTGTGGTTACCCTCAAGGAAAAATAAAGGAGCTGAGAACCATTTTCTTTGAGCTCTTGAGCAACAGCAGTACAACTTGTTTTTAAACAATCCCTCATTGTAATGTTAATGTTACCACAGTTAATAAAAAGTTCATTTATTATTTGGAGGACTTTGTGCTGATGACAGTCTAGTAGGCAAAGGTTTATGTTCCAATAGTTGATTGGATCCTTTTTGGTGTCCATAGAATGAAAGCTACTTGCAAAATGAAGTAGAAGCAAAGCATTAAAAGCAAAAAAAAAAGAGAAAGAAGAAGAAGAGATCCATGGTTTTATTTTTGTTTAAATGCAAAACTCATCTTGAATGTTCATACAGTTGCTTAATTTTCAGCAAATTGGGTCATAGTTTCTCAAATTTAACTGATTTGTGGCTTCCACAGCTTCATGGATTTAAATAAATAATGCTAATTTATAAAGCATTTAACATCAACCATGTGTTAACATTTCCAATTTTATTGTCTCTCACTGGAGATTTAAAAACTTAATTCTGAGTATTTTCAACTGAAAATATAATTCTTTTTTATCTTTAGTAGTGAAGATGGTATTTTAACACCTGGTCATAAAATCAGAGAATATTAAGGGGCTGGAATGGGCCTTAAAGATCATATAGTTGCAATTC